CTTACGGCACAGCTGAGGCATTTGTTCAGTCACTGGCGAGCCCTGGCCGTGTGTTTCTGTGTATGTGAACGCCCGCGAGCTCAGAGTGTATTTCAGGATATCTTTTCTATTTAAAGATGGCGCTTCTATGGACGACTACTCTGTGTGTGCGTGTGTGTCCTTTCCAAGCTGTGCACACATGAGGATTCTTCTTTAGTCCCATGGCTCTGGCCGCTATTTGCAGAGCTTGTCATTGTGTGGACGGTGAGGGTAAGAAGCAGCCTAGCTCAAAGTCGGCTGCCTCTTTGCTGACATGCCAGGCTGATGCATCTGTGCCACTGCTTCCCAGGGCTTCTGGGCTCAGGCTTGCTCTTTGAAGCTTGCCTCAGCATGTCCTTCAGGGTCACTCCCACCCTCACTCTTAGTGGCTGTCCTACTTCAGCAATCTTCCCCAGGCCGGGGCTGAAATTTGGGAGACTTGCAGGCTTTCTGCATTCAGGATGCTATGTACCTTGCAGGTAAAACGCCTAGACTTTGCGTTCAGACTGCCTGAACTGTTAGGTAGTTGCTGAGCCTGATATTACATGTCTTATGTGACCTTGGAGAAGCTACTTAACCTCTCTGTGCCATGATTTCCTCATCTCTAAAATGAAAATAAATGATACTATCTATCTATTGGGTTGTTGTAAAGATTAAATAAACTATCATAAATAAAGCACTTAGAGCAGTGCCTGGGGCATGGAAAGTACAATACAATTGTTAGTGGTTGTTCCCGATAGGAGTGGTGCAAGCAGGAGTCATGGAGAATCTGGCTAAGGGGAAAGGTATAACTACCAGATTTCACACACATGCAAACACACATATGCACATGCACGTAACAACAATAACATGGTGGCCACAGCCCACCATGATTCAAGTTCACCTTGTTGGGTAGCTGATTCCCTAGGCCCCAAAGAGGTAGACTTCTGGTGACTGAATAGAGGAAGAGCCTTAGTGTTGGGGATGAGGCAGGGTTTGCATGTCAGAAGTCATAGGGAAATTTAGGGGCCAATTTTAGACAGGAGAAGTAAGTTCCAGGGTGTTCACTGCCCACATGGTCCCAGCCTCTCTGATTTACCTTTCTAGAAATGGCTACTCAGGAGGAGTAGGCTGTTGCTCTCGCTGAGCCACTCCTTAGGCTTGGGGTCCTCTCACTTTGATCCTGCTACTGCCTCCCACACCATGGCCCACCTCTGTGCGTATAAGCACTTATCTAGTTGCGTCAGAGTCCACCTCACCTCTGTCCATGTATATATATGGGAACTCAGGAAGACACTGGCAGGAGCAACTGCAATGACCAAGGACAGGAAAGCTGTCTAAGGGATCCAAGGAAACATTGCGAATCCTAGGTCAGGTCAGGCTTCACACATCAGCCTTAAGTGGAGGAGCTTCCCTATACTGGTTCCTTGCTAGATCTTTAGTACTCTTGTCTGGTAGATGGTTTACAGATGGGAAGCTGAGGTAACTGGTGGGACTTCCAGGGGGATGTGAGTTGCATAGGTAGCATGAAACTCTAAACTCTCCCTCTTGCCACATCTTGGGATGCTACTTTCCTCTTCCGAAGGTAGAGTGACCGACTCAGATAAGAGTATCCTAAAAGGACACTCTTAACTTGGTTCTGTTGACCTCTCCCATGCCTGGCCTCCACAGGGGAAGGGCTTACTGTGTCCAGGCTGGGGTTGCATCAGGCAAAGTTTGCCTGAGGACTCCCACCTCTTGCTGGTGCCTGGGCTTTCATTTTCCAAGGTGAGGTAGGTGGTGGTAGTGTAAATCCTGAGAACTTTGTCCCCTCCAGAAGGCCAGAGGTTCACCTGAGTGAGTTCCTGAGTTCCCATATATATACATGGACAGAGGTGAGGTGGACTCTGAGGCAACTAGATAAGTGCTTATACGCACAGAGGTGGGCCATGGTGTGGGAGGCAGTAGCAGGATCAAAGTGAGAGGACCCCAAGCCTAAGTTGGTATCAGACAACTGTCCAGACTGTCCAGTTGGCCAAGCCAGGATATACTGTCTGTTATGGTTTAAAATGTCCCCTCAAAGCCTCAAGTGTCTGGAAATTGATTGGATTGTGGGGGTGCTGTACTGATCAATGAATTCGTCCATGAATGAGTTCAGTAGCTGAATGTGCTGTTAGGGGGGTGGTTAGAGGTGGGTCACTGGGGGCATGGCCTGGAAAAGCCCATTCTTGTCCCTGTCTCTTCTCTCTCTGCTTCCTGGCTCCCATGTCATGAGCTGCTTTTCTCCACCATGCCCACCTGCCATGTGGTTTCTGGCTGGGGGTCAGCTAACTGTGGACTCAACTCACAAGCTATGAGCACCCTCTGCTCCTTTAAATTCTGACTGCTAGGTACTTTGTCCCAGCAGTGGGACAGTGACTAAGACACTGTCCAACCTTGTGGTGATAGCCGAACTCACAAGCATTAGGTGTGCTGGTCCCTTCATGAGGAAGGAGAACCCTGACTTCCTGCAGGCTTAACCCCATTTTGGAGGCCAGTCACGGCTTGGGTGGTTCTCACTAGTCAGTATGGTTAGACCAGTAATTGCAGATGAGAAGTGATCACAGTTGCTGGGCCCCACAGCCCTTCCTGTGCAGCTTCTGGCCCCCTGATATCTGTTCTGACCAAGGTAGATCTTGAGGGCAGCAAAGCCATGGTGGAGGGCTTTCTGCTCTTCCAGGCCTCTCTCAGAGGGAGAGGCCAGGGAGGAAAGTGGAAAAAAGGGACGGAAGACAGCAAGTGTGAGACGAGGTTGGGGGATAAGCACCGGGAGGGAAAACTCTAATGATTAGTTTCTTGTTAGAAATAATTTGGAGAAGGCTTACCGGAGACTGGAGATAAAGCTCTGAGTTGTAATGATTTGTTTTCCTTCAGTAGCATCTTTTACTTGTGTTCTGATGTTTCCCAGGACTCCGCCCTGGTCTTCTTTGCTCCTCTACCTGCCCCCTTTTCCTGGAAAGTTTAGTGAAGCAGCAGTTTCAGATTCAATCGGATGCTTGTGATCCTTACCCAAGCTCTCCAGAGCCTGTCCACATCTGCGCCACCGTGCACAGCCATCTCTAGGCTTGGTCTTACCACCATCTTTGACCTTCTGCTGTCAACTCTTTCCTCTAAAATCTGCTGCCAGTATGTTGTGTCCTCAGTTTTTTCTTCCCCTCATTCACTCTTCTTTTTAGCACACAGGCCTTTTTCCTGTTACCTGACAAGCTCTCTTGCTTTTACACCCTCAGCCTTGTTGTACCCTCTTCTGGAAATGCCGTCTACCACTTGTGCTTCTGTCTTCCTAGCAGACTCCCTACTCAGGCTCGAACCATGACTACCCAGCACAGAGGTCAGAGACCAAATGTTGGTTAAGTTCTCCCCCAAAACCCAGGATAAACGAGCCATTCTCCACTTTGGGCTTCCACAGTCCTTCCTGTGTACCTCAAACAGGGCTCTTCGAGCCCATGTGGTCTCAGTTGTGGGCATGGTAGTGTCCCTTCCTGGCCTTTAAGCTGTTTAAAGCAAGGATTATGTCTCTGCCATTTATGAGAATCCTAGCTCGGTGTTTGGCACATTGCAAATGCTCAGTGAATTTTCACTGTGAATTTGTTTGAACCTGCATTCCCATATCTCCCGTGATTATATATAGCTGAGAATATGTGAGGAATTCGCTAATTGGTTAGTCTCCAGGCCTCACCTGATTGATCTTAAGCACTGGCATGAGGACCGAGAAAAAGGATAAGGGCGTTGGATTTTTGGTTGATCCCAGATGAAAAAGGCCCCAAAGACCCCCTGCTCCAGTGAGGAGAGAGGAAAGTCCTTTTGCTTCTACAAAATGAGCCTCAGTCAATGCTGCCCGCAGAGACCTGACCAGTGTTCTTCTCTTGAACTAGATTGGTTTTCAGGGGATTCTTCTCTTTCCCCTCTGGCAGGATGTCAGTCATATCCCCAGAACATAACCTTCTTGGGAACAACTAGGACATAGTCAGTTGGAAGTGTCCCTGGTTGCCTGCAGCTGTGACTGTACTCCCCATAAAGACCGGCATGAAGGCCTGTCAAAAACCCACTTAGCCAAAACTCTGACATGGCTCAAGGAGATGCCAAGACCAAAGGTTGCTGATTTTAAGAATAAGCTCATACAAATAGCACATCAGCAAATCTGGGACACCGAAGGCTTGGTAGGAGAAGATGGACTCTGGCCAGACATGGCTTCAAATGTTGGTTATGTCACTTAGCAGCTGCATGACTCCCTCACCTGCAAAATGGGTTCTAAGGATGGCATCAACTCATAAGGCATGTAAGGATGGACTCAGATAATCCATAAAACATGTCCCACATGCAATAATAAATAAAAAGGCTAGCTGTTATAGTATTGTAACTGAGTCTGAAACTAGCTCTTTTAAATCTGGGACACAGCTTCCAGAAATATAGTGAGTCACTGGAGTTCTTACCATATGATTATTGCTCATACTGGACCTCAGGAAATGGGTGAAACCAGAGAAATTTTCTCTCAGACACTTTTCCATTTCCTCTGCTTCAAGTGCTGATTTCTCCTCATTCCCTACTCATCAGCAAGAAGTGATAAAATCATTTAGACTAATGTGTAAGTGACTATCTCATCTAGAGGCACAGTATTCACATTTTGATAGGGCAGAGCCTTCAGCCAAGACAATGAAATAAAGCAAATGGGATGTCAAAAACTTACCAGATTAATGGGAGAATTAAGAGGGGGTAGACAAGGAGGCTCTCTTTGATTCTGCAGAGTCCAGTCCACACTTAAAACTGGTCCAAGTGATGCAGTTGTAAGCAACAGGTGGGATGTTTCTGAATTCTGCAGCTAGAAAATCAAGTGTCTAGCCTTTGCAGGAGTTTTATTATAAGACTTGTACTTTGCTTTTAGAAACTGACCTTCTCTTGGTAAACAGACACAGCTCATGGAGTACCAGGGCCCCTTCCAGCACTGCACATCTATGATACTTAATCTCAAATGTATTTTTTTTCTCAGAGCTCAAGGCTGAGGCTGGTTGTTTTCTTGCCTCCCTGGGTTTGTGAGAGACCAGCTGCAAAATCATTAATTGCTTTGGTGAGTCAACAAGCAAAAAAGTCAGGCTAGCTACTCTCCCTCAACCTACAAGGTCACAAGAGCTTTTGGGATTTCTCTGAAAAATTCTTGTTAAATGTAGGTCCTCATAACTCTTTTAAAAATTCTTTATTATGGAAAGTTTCTGATATATACAAGAGACAAGAGAGTTTTATAATATTCCCTCATGAACCCTCATTTAGCCTTAATCTCTTTATGTTTATTCTCTACCTTATCTCCTACCTGGAGAAGTCCCCCAAGAATCAAATTCCAGATGTCATATAATTTAATCTGTATATATTTCAGCAATTGTACTCTTGTTATGGTCAACAGAAGCCATCTCCCCAGGGGAGAATTCTTTTTTTCCTCCTCACACGATGCTAAGAACTTTTGTCTAATATCCGCCCCTGTGTCCAGGAGTAGTCCCTGGGTTAGGCAAGCTCAAGGGTTTATTGAATCCTGCCTGGTATATATCCTGTCCCTTGGATAAAATGTATATATTTTAAAAATATAAAATATATATATATCCCGTCCCATGCATAAAATGCCTGGCAGTGGTGCTTCCGTGTGCGTGGCTTAAAAACAAGTCCTGCTACACCTTGGGCCGGGGCCCTACCGCTCCTTCCATCTGCCATCATATCATCCAAAAGGGGCCTAATATGTATAATAAGGCATGGTAGTTACAATCCAAGCTGCTGCCAAGATGTGCTGCGGGTCTTCTCTTCACTGGATTATTATTATTATTATTATTATTTTTGGATTGAACAGATCGAGGCAGTGACTCCAGCGCCTGAGACAACATGACGATAAATTGCCAAGGCAGCTCTTCTATGGCTCATAACTGGTAAATCAAATCTATTGAACAATACATTTACTGCAAATTTAAGAAGTTGTTCTTCCATTTTTAAAGTATGTGTGTTAAATCATACTCAGAGTCATAAAGAATAGAGACAGCTGGCCTCAGTGTGAGCAAAACATAAAACAACAAAAACAACCAGATGCTTAAAGAAGTTAACACAAGTTCCTTGTGTCTTGTTGAGCAGAGAATGAAGACCCTTCGTGACGGATCCGTGGGGCCTCTTCCCACCCAACAGACTGGAATCCCTAAAGTGGGAGGCTTCTGACTTCCTAACAAATGCCTGACTCGATTTTGCAAATACAGGTTCAATCTTAACAGGCTCCCTCTTCACTCCAGATGCCTGAAGTGGACAAAAAAGGAAACACAACAGCCTTCTTAGTGAATAACAGCGTCGGTGGGATGGTGGTGAGGGATGGGAGGGGGAGTGAGCTATGGGCTGTCCTTCTTTTTACTTTCCATTTCACCCTATTCAAGTGCTTCCGAGTGGAATTCAAGTCCCAGCTCAAGATGCTGTCAGGCAGGACACAGGAGTATGCTTTGTCTAATCTGCATACCCTGCCCTATCTACGCACTAATGGGAGCTCCACATTTAATAAACATTTCATTTGAGCTGACAGGTCTTTATCCACTCATGTTAGTTCAATGAACTCCTAAATAATTCCTCCACTTAGTGTATACTTATTGAATGTCCACTGATTGCTGTGCTGGGCATATTGGGGTGAGCAAGACTGACACAGGCCCTGCCTTGTTGGAGTGGTGTCCATGCCTTAACAAGAAAGACAGTCAGTGAGTCTGCACTCTTCTCTGATATTCAGGCTTACTAAAACCTCACTGGAGGGTCAGTGAAGCCTGAAAGATGAATAGATTTGCAAATTTTCATAACAATCCCACATGGCAGATCTATTATTCCCATTTTTCAGATAAGGGATCAAATTGGAGGCAAGCATCACCCCGTAATATGGAGCTAGCACATGTGATGATGTGTGTGTGGACTGTAGGGCAGTATGTGTTCCAGGATGGTCAGGAGTGCTACTATGGGGGAGGTCACATCTGACCTTCATTGGCAAGAAGGCAGGAATCAGCCAAATGAGTGAGGGGACCATGTGAGCACCACGCAGAGCAAAGTCACCAGAGCGTTAGGCAGAGCACAGCAGGGTCAAGAGCGGCCAAACCAGCCCTCAGGGGTCTCATGTGGCAAGCTAAGGAGCTAGACGGTATTCTGCAGGCCACAGGGGGCTACCCAGGGCTTCAGGCAGATTCATGGTACAGTCAGTTCTTAATCTAAAGAAACCACTCTGGCCCAGCAGTGTGGAGGATGGATTTGAGAAGGACCAGATGGGAAGCAGGGGGACCAATTAGCAGACTCTAGCAGTGTTCCAGGAGAGAGATTATGTAGGCCTCATCCTGGGCGATGGTATTGTGAATGGACGAGAGAAGGCATCAGAGAAATGTGCTGGTAAATATTAACAGCACTCTGATGGGTTCAGTGTGGAGCAGCCCAAGAGGGACCCAGGTCAGGCTGTGCTGCCTGGGCTGTTGACCATGCCAGTCTGGGGAATGAGAATGTAAAGCAGAGCCTCCTGGGGGTGCAGGTGTAACCCCTCACCATGGGGGAGGGGGAGGGTTGTCAAAGTTCTCCCTTGGGGTCCTGTCCTGCCCACAACTGTTATGTTGGTCTGGAGGACGCTTCAACCACAGATGTTAAAGACTTGAGAGCAATGTTGACCTTCAGAAATGAGGTAGGGTTAACCTAAAACAATCTCAACAACTCCTTTGGCTATTGGGGAATGAATTTTCAAAATAAAGCTGAACAAATCCATGTAGAGCAGGCCATGCTATCTAGAGGCTTATGGAACTGCTGATCACTTGAGAGATAAGAGGAGAGATTAACTCTTGGGTCTCATCCTCAGCCATTCTGCTTTCACTCTCTTATGTGTGTATGCACAGAGGCACACACATGCATGCACATGGGCATGGGCGTGTGTCTTGTCATCCCTAAATTTTCCCCAGCACACCATGTTTTTCACACTTCATTTTTGCTTTTGCTATCCTCTCTGCCCTCACGCCTCCCTCTGAGTACAACTCAGCTGTGTTCCTCCTTCCAAGCCAATCCAGAGGAGGGGCCTCTTTGATGCCTGGCCCCAGCACCCATGCAGTGTTAGTTGTCTGCTCTGTGTGTTCTCATCATACACTCCCCTATGAAATAATACCTCATATTGTGTTTCTCTGAGTTATTCCTTCATTACCACCCTAAACTCCTGAAGTCTTATTTGTCCTGGTGTACACAGCAGCTGGCACAATGTCTGGTTCATCACCAGTGTTCAAAAACTGTTGGAGGGATAAATGAGCACATCCTCTGGAGGCGGATCACAATACATCTTCCCCAGCTTTCACTTTATTGAAGATGGTCACCTTTGCCCTCCAGGTGCTCACATCCCACATGAGAAATAAATCCAGTACACACGGGAGACAAGGCTGTGAAGGCGTTGCCTGCCTTCACCCTCAGCTCTTGCGAGCAGGTCTGTGCCTGTCTGAGATTAGCCTTTATTTTTATGCCCTCTTCTGCCTTCACAAGAAGCAACCTCTCTTTTGTACTGAAATGATTATACACTTGTGGCAGTCAGAGTTCCAAAACTGTAACAAAATGCCCCAAATAATCAGTTTATAAAGAAAAAAGTTAATTTTGGCTCACAGCTTCAGAGGTTTCAGACCATGATGAGTTGGCTTGGCTATGTCCAGACCTGTGGTGAGGCAGCCCATCATGGCAAAAGCACATGATAGAGCAATCTACTCATCTCATGGGTGGGGAGCAAAAAGAGAAGAAGAGGCCAGACTCACACTATCTCCTTCAAAGGCACCCCCAGTGACCTCAGCCCTCTCACTAGGCCCTGCTTCTTAAAGGTTCTACTACTTCCCAGTAGTGCTACACTGAAGACCAAGCCCTTAACACATGGGTCCCTAGGGGACATTGTAGATCCAGGCTACAGCACTTGCTTAGCTCCCTTGAGGGGACATGAGTGAGTAGGTGAGACCCCCAGTCCTCTGGGGGTCCCCTAGCTGACCACAGCTGGCAGAACTAGATGGTGCTTCCAGAGAGAAAGGTCTTTGGTCATTTTCTAGGTGACCTGCATGGCCCTCTGGATTTCTGAGTGGCTTCTGCAGTCAAATGCTCTACCGCTGAGCTATACCCCCTCTCTGAGTGGCTTCTGGAACAGGAGGGGACTGACCATTATGAAGCAAACTGATAACATTGGGAAACTTGTCTCTTGTCTCAGGTTAGGCATATCCACCAGACAAAGTTGGAAGTGTTTATAAGCAGGGCGACAGACAAGGGGAGAAGCTAGGGATCATCATAAAATTAATAACAGTGGCAATGACATGGTGACCACAAGCTCCTAGGAGTCTCACACACAGAGCTAAGTCTTCTCTGCATTCTCATTTTTTAGTCCTTATAACACTCCTATAAAGCAGGTATTATCATCTCCACTTATCAGATAAATAAACAGAGGCACAGGAAAATTTGGCAATTTTCTCTGGGATTTGAAACCAAAGAATCTGAGTCTAGAGCTCCTGCTCTTACATTCGACATTGCAGGGAATTGCAGAAGGCAGGCCGGTCACCTCATTTTCCGCGAACAGATATCCCACAAGGTGAGAGGCCAACACTTACTCATTGCTCCAACCCCTGCGCACTTTCAGACAGTCCAGCTCTAGTCAAGGGTGAGTGCCAGCTCCTTGCTGGTCTGGAGCGCTGCAGAATCCCAGAAAGAACAGGGGAATTGAAGTGTGCTTGGTGGATGTACTGTCTTGTCCCTCCCCCTTCTGCCCCTGGTCTCTCAGCAGTGGCCTTTGGATCACTGCTTCTCTTGGAGGCCTGGATTGCTGCTGTCGGGAGCCTAATCTCCATGCTGGTGGTTTTGGTTGCTATGGTAATTGAATTCACTTAAAGTTGTCTCCAAGCTAGTCTGTCTACCTCTTTCTGCCTGCAGCCTGGAAGGGCAAAAGCCTAGGGCTGAGGGCAAGAAGGAGGAGGGATCAGTACCCTGGGAAACCTGTATGTTTTTCCTGATCTAGAGGTCGTCTTCACAGGCAAACAGAAGAAAAAACTGTGGAGAAATGTTCTTGCGATCGTATTCTTTGCTGCCTTAACACCTTTCTTTGTAGAGACTCGGGAATGAGGCAAGCGAAAGGCAGGGTCTGGCAGCAATGGTAGGACACTTTGAAAGCATCTTCCACTCCTCAGCATTTCGTTACTCAGTCAATAAACAGTGAAAGTGGAATGTATTCTAGGCACCTTTGCCTGTCTCTGGATGCAGGGGTCCAGAGCCACAGGAAATTCTCCTTGACAGCACATTTTTGCAACTACTACTCTGAGATTTCAGGAGAATACCAGATCCTGACAGAGAGACCAGAAATTGTAGGATATTCCCTTTCTTCCTTTCTCTGATGGAGGAAGATCCATGATGTAGCACATGCTGAGCATGGAGAGAGAGACCAGAGGGTCTTAAGATGGAGCTGCTGTGGACAGGACCATCCCTCCCTGGGACTTCAGGGGAATTTCATACTCTCTCCATCATTCTAACCCAGGAAAAACTTTAACACCTAAGGGGGTATGGGGGAAGCCAATGTCAAAGCACTGCCTGAAGGTGTGTGAGACTAGCAGACCCTTCCCTTGACCATGCCCCACCCGCTAGGTTGGTGAGGACTTGGGGGATAAAAAGGTTACAATAGATTATAGATGTTTGTGTGTTTGAAAGTCTCAATCTTTTAGTGATAGCTGGATGAAACAAACACACATTTTATACTGCGTCAAGGAAACAGCAGGAGTCCTGCGATAGACTGGGATGACAAAGAATGTTGAGGCTCAGTAGAGGCTCTGGGAGCTCGCTGTCCAGGAAGGATGACAAATGAACAATATGAAGGAAGGTATCCTATAATACAGGAAAATGCAAGTGCTTTCTCCACAGGGGTATATGGGAAGGTAAACCTTGGGAGGGAGCTGCTTCTTAGAAATGTGCATGTATGAATCACCATCTTAGAGATGACAGCTAAAATTGTGAGAAGGGCACTGGCCAGAGTGAGAGGGGTTCTGGACACCAACAGTCCTTCTGTGTATAGACACAGCACAAGCTAAGGCCCACAGGCATGCCCACGAGCAGCATGTGTAGTGGTGGGAAGGCAAGCTAAGTGAGGAGAGTGGCAGGTAATGAACAAGACAGGAATGTCTGCAGGGTGGGTGCCAGTTTGGGTTCTGTCATGCAGGCTACAAGAGACCTTTACAGTAAAACAACCACGTTTTAGCAAAACAACACCGGCAGCAATGAGATAGGTGAGTAGATGTAAGAGATAAGAGAACATGAACTAAGTCTAAGGACTAGCAATAAAGAAAAAACAAGCCACAAATGAGGAGCAGCAAACACTCTGGTTCCTGGGGACTGACCAGCTGTGGAAGGAGGAAGAAGCAAGTATTGAGAGGTGTGGAAGAGGAGAGGTCACCGGGCAGATTCTGGGTATGGACGTAACTGAAATTAGTACAGCAACTTGAGGGAGTTCTTCTTAGAACAGGTGAGCAAGATATTTGGTATGTTCAAGGTCAGATGCACAA